CTAGCACAAAGGTTCAGATACTTTTTTTCCAGCCTGCACTGTGAATGATTAACCAGTGTGTTCAATAAAGACATTAAAAGTACAACTGTTCCTGTCCTGTTACTTTAGTCAGCTTATGTTTGTCTATAATTGAGGCTTAATGAAGATCAGACTATATTTTCTTCAGCAATCGATACAGAAACCCTGGTAATCCAGGTCCCGATCTGCAAGGTTCCCAAACTTTTTCTTGCAGCTGTAGGTCCCAAATTCACTGCCCAACTTTGACAGCTCAACAGTAACCTCTAGTGGCTGATCCACAAACATATGCTGTTATCTGCTCTTAAAAAACAAACTGTTTTGACAGGGTTTAGACATTTTCTTTCAACAAAAAAACAAGCTCCACTTAGACACCCCACTGCACCGTGTTACACTGTCTGGTACAATTAAAAGCCACAATCACAGCTAATTACCCACCTTCATTATGTTGCGCTCTTCTCCTTTCATCTCTTGGTGTTCGGGGTCCGTCCATTTTCCTGCAGTTAGAAGGGGGGAAAAAAACAAACACTTTTCATACAATATCTTTCATCCCTGAGTACCATGCAATCAGGCACAAATCCAACACAGTCCCCCAATTTCAGCTAATCCTGTGCAAGTAAAAATCTTTTTTCACTGTGGTCTTCGAATTCAAATCTATTGTAATTTTTTTTTATTGAAGCTGTGTATTGCCTTTAGTAGAAATACTGGAGGATGCACAGCCACATGAGGCCACGTCTGCAGTCCTGACACCCCTGCCCGGGCTGGGCTGCCATGACTGGAATACTGAGACCTGGCCTACCAGGTGAAGCCCAGAGGGAGCCCACTGCTTTATTATGCTGTAAAATGACAACGCTGTGGAAAACCAGATGCCGTCCACTGGAGTCTGGGCGCACGACTAATGACACAACTGTCTCTTGTCTCTGTACCTTCCCTTAGGATTCCGTTAATTAAGTCCCCGGGACGTGACAGGCGAACTTATCAAACCACCCACCATGGCACGAACAGGCCAATAACACACTGGTGTGTAATCACAGGCAGCCTACTGGAGATCTCGTGTTTCTGTTTCACTAATACTCCACTCACCCTATTGCAAATCAATTAACATCCGCGGAAAAACAACAAAAGCAATTCAGAGGAAATAATTATTTTTGCTAGACTCAGAAATGAACGCGACTGTCGCTTACAGGACGGCTCTGCCCACTCTTCACGCGGAGTTAACAAGCAACCTGTAAGGTCGTTCTTGTTCCCCGTCTGTCCTTCAACAACACATCTTTATTCTACGGCGGTGAATTTGTGTCCCATCAACACAACTCGACCGCTGATAGCTTCGTTTGAGATAGTCAGCTAAGCCAAACGACAGTCTCTCTTGTATCTCAGAACATCTTAATGGGATTTCAGCTGTATAATGGATTCAGCCCAACAGTACTCTTAGGCAAAGTGTAAAAAAAAAAAAGGAGGAGGACGACTGTATGAATAACTAAACGTACAGGCCCAGAGGAATGTCTTTCTCCCGGCTTTCACAATATAGACACACCTCATCTGGGCGACTCCTGAGAGTTATTGTTGCCACAGCAATCCAAAAAAATTAACAGCCCCACCGCTCAAGCGCCCCATCCATATTATCTGAAGCATGGATGTATTAAAGAACTAAGTTTGTACAGTCTGTTATTGATCTGTGAAAGAGAAATGCAATTTTTACTCTTTCTGCCCTGCCTTCTACGGTATTACTATCATCATTATCAAGCCACGGCCTCGACGATAAATCAGAACACACCGAGACACTGCAGTTTGGGCTCTAAACAGATGATTTAATAGAGTGAGCATCAACTGGTTAATCTAGCTAGAAGACAGACTGTGAATTTAACAACACGTGTTATTCTGTTAGCTTTACCTGTCCCTATATTCCTGTCTCATATCGATAAAATATTCCCATAACATAGAAGAAAACAAAGAGAGTTTTATCACCAACTTCAAAACGAGACTAAATGAGAACAAAACAACACTTGTGATGCTAAAATAAAAGTGCAGCGTGAGCCATTTGTTTCCAGATGGAAAACAGCGACCTAATTTCTAGGTCCTAATGGGAAAAAAAAACAACACACATTTGCCACAAGCACAACTAACAACACTGGATCAGGGTCGGTAGTAAAGAAACGCTACGTCTGAGCCTCACACATCAAGAGCAAAGGGAGAATCACTGGTGGGAAGGGGAAAAGGGGTCGGACAGGAGAGGAGGGCAGAGGTTTGTGTGCTTCTTCTCTTCTCTTCTTGTGATCTAATTTGATTCATTCATTTGCTGTTTAAAAAAAAAAAAAAAAACAGGAGTGTGGGAGAAATGTGGAAACTGTCCTCACCAGTTTAAACCTTCGTGTTGCAGCAGCTCGTTTTCATCTCTGCGAACGGCAGATAGGGTGGGAAGTTTTCATTCACTTTGCTCACATGTCAAGAATAACGTCACTGTTTATTAGTTTGTACTTAAATATAACTCTGACACCTGAAATCATAAATTATTCATGTGAGGGGAAAATAAATAGAAACAAAACATATTGCAGATAGGCATTCTGAGAGATGAGAAAACAGTTCACTTTGTACTTCAACACATGTAAAAGCAGTTCTGTTGGACGCCATGAACATCAAGCAGCATCAATTCGCGGCAGAGCGGCTGCCGGATTTAAGGCGGATCGACAACTTTTCTTAACAACAAAGGAGATTAGCTGTCAATTTGCTGTAAACTGATAAATGGCACATGAAACGCAGAGGGAGTTATTTGCATGTCTTCTCTTGTGTTGTCATTTTTATCATTATGACATAAACAGGGATTCATGAGCCGCCATCGATACGTCCGTGTCCTCGTGAGAAACAACTCGTATACAATGACTACAATCCGGTGAGCTTCACGAGTTAAAGGTTAAGCATACGCCTGGTGGAAAATGGAGGAATATTCACGTAAATTGGAGCTAACTCAATTTGATAATGGATCATGTGTTCATTTCTAGCGACTGTGACTGTGGCTCTGCTTTTACCAAATAAGGGAAAAATCGGCTACTTGACATTCAAGAAGCTTGCGTGTCTCAGGAATACGGCTCATGTGCCCCGACGTGTTCGCTGGCACTCTGGTGACCTCTGAATTTGAAATAAAGCCTGTTGTGAATTCTTTGTAAGTATCTGTAGTAGGCCGGGCCCGGCATCACGCAATTAAAATGGCAAACTCTTTGCTCAGGTGGGCCTGCTGATCGTCTTAATAACAGCAATCACCAGCGTGTGGCTGTGGCTGACGGTTGGAGAGAGTCTGAAATGGATCCCTTCTGATGCATGATTATAATGATGCATGTTGTGAATTTTTAGAGATAAACAACATAATATTTTGGAGACGAGTGGGGAAGGGAAAAAAAAAACCAAACTGGCCAACCGGTATGCGCAAAAATAACAATCCTTAAAATTAATCATCACAGTAAACTCAGGAGAGACAAAAGAAAAGACTCCCTGGACGGGGAAGCAGTCTTGAGTAAAAGCTAAAGAAAACAACAACAGCTGCAGCAGCAAGAGCGCAGAATTTGAGCCTCGCTGTGTTTGTGGATGTAGAAATTGTTTTAACGGTCATGTGTTCGCACCACATTCACAACGAGCTGTCGCCAGCGACTTGTTGATCTCCACATGTACGACTGCTGAACATTACATTTCAAGCTGTTGCAATTTACCTCCACTTCCACGGCCGTCTCCGGCATTAGCATTTAGATTTATATGAATTTAGTGTGCTTTGTTAGGCTTGACTTGATGTTTATTTAACGCTGTGTATGTCCTGCTCTGATGGATGGGGTTTCTGTGCCGACGTTCTGGAGAATCACAGGAGCAGAGCCACGCTGCAGATATTTTACTGTCGCAGTGACTGGTTAAAGCTCTGACAAAAAAACAGCGCAACTACAATTAATCAGATTTAATTAGCAGCTCGGAACATTAAACATTGAATCCACTTTTTAACTCCATCCAAAATGCACCTTTAAACTTTCAAAAAAAAGGCAATTTACAAACTCACCGAATGGCTGATTTCTACGGGCGTTTACAGGAAGATAGCATTTCTTTATGCATTTTGTTTTAAAAATAATAATTGTTTCAGACTGCTTTATTAATGTTGTCTTCTTCTCCCAAACAGCAAATGACAGAGGTGATACTTACGCAGGATAGGGCTGTGTGCGTGGGGCGATGGTTCGTGGTGTGCCTGTCTGAATGACATCAGGGGGGGTCATCATCACATAAAACTGACCTGCGGAAGGCATGGATGGATTCAGTCAGCAGGGAGGGACAACACGGGGCAATATTTCATAAAGACAAACTGTTGTTGCTCCAAAGAACATCTCACATCAAGACTGACAACAATCAACATGTAGAAAGAGGAACAGTCATGATTATCTTCTTCGAGCCCAACGGAAACACCATCAAACAAAGCAGATATTCCACAGTAAGCCAAAAAGACATTCTTTTGGCACCACTATGTTTGTAGTAGGGCTGCATGATATTGTGTCAGCATCAACACTGTGATGAACGCAGTAGTAACATCGTGCAATGTGAAGTACTGAAAATGATCTGTAACATGTCTTTTTTTAACTTTATGTAGAAGTTTGTTGACATGCAGGCTCCATGTGTGAACAGAGAAAGATTTGGTTGCAAAGAGAGACGCCACATCTGTCAAATGGAAATCTTTCAGCTACAGAACAGGTGATGTTGACCAAAAACAGGCACTCTGTCGGCAGTGTCTTACAATTATTGCCACTGCACGAGGCAACACCAGAAATCTGTTTGGTCATTTAAATCGTTACCACAGAGCTCTGTATGAGGAGTAAAACGCTGGATTTGAATGCAATCCAAAGCAAAAACTCTATCGCAAATTGCCTCGTGTGAGGCACCTTGCGGATGACATGGTACCAATTAACACTGTTGGCAAAAAGGGTTTTTAAAACTTGATCTGATCGCCTGCCAAGCAGTTTGTAATACCATCAGGCACCTACTCCTCATACCTTCCCATTCCAAAGCGGTATGAAAAATGCAGGGCGTAAGTTGAACAGAGCTTTCACACTTTGAACAATGTGCAGCTACAACGGACTGTCATCCAGCTGGAAAACAGAGCCCGACATAAATCTTACTGTCCGGTTTATTAATAGGGCTTCCAACTGTAAGGTAGATTTTTTTGCAAACTGCACTTTTCCAGCCTGATCCTACAGGTGAGAACACTGCATCGGGGACAAGAGGAGCGTTAGCGGCTTGGGGCCTCGATGACAGACGCCAAGCCTGAATAACAACAAACAATGCGGTGAAGGTGGTGAAGGCTGCCGCCCTGAACTGCATCTAGCACTTGGTAACTCATGCTATATTTACTAATATCATAATATACACGCAGGAAAACAAAATATCACAATGTCAGTTTTCTCCAATATTGTGCAGCCACAGCATGTAAGATACAAACACCTCATACTCTTCCTGTGGGCCAGTTAGATGTCAAACTAACCAGAAAAAAACAAACACTGAACACAACTTACTGCCACTTTAAAGACAGAATACATCAGCAGAAAAATGAAGGTCCTCTCCACAGTAGCATCTGTACATTTAACTCCTTGACGTCACACAGAAGTACTGATAGGGCTAAATTAGATTTCATTTAAAAACAAGAATCCAGGAACTTACCTGTACAAAAAACGAGTCTCAAAATCTTAGTGAAAACGTAATCCGAGACATCAGACTCACACCTTGTATTTATTCCCTTTTTAAAATGTGGGACCAGAGACGACAATACACAGCACTTACAACATCCAACAGAAAAAGCACAACGAAAACTCTACTTTTCAGATTAAACTGGCGGTCTTTTGACCTGATCTCCACCGAGCAAGGCCACATATTAATGCCTTAAGACGCTTAAAACACATCAAGTGCTTCACTTGTTACGTCCTCAACACTTTGACTCAAATCTTATCTCACTTTTGAAGCTTGCACCTCGCAGAGTCAGCATCAACTGATACGGCCTTAAGGGTGTCTGACTCCTGTGGGTGTGCGTCATGTGATGCAAGGAGACACACAACGCTCGACGGGGAGAGACGGCAGGGAGTGTGGATGTGCTGCGTGAGCCTGACCGGCTATGTCAGCAATCAGTAATGGATGAGATACATCAAAGAAACCTAATGATTCGAGGCAAGCTCGATCACTGAAGCAACACGACGACCTTGCGTGACCCCTGACCCGTGACCGTGCGGTACGTCGGTGTTTTCAAGAGTATGACTGAACTCTGCTGGATCCTCTGGGATTACAAGCCTGGCTCATCTTGTGTAAACACAAAAAGGTAAGATCAGTTTATTACTCTGGAATGTTTTCACATCATGTCCTGTTACTTGGATGGAATTTGTGTGGTGCTGCTGCCACAAACCAGAGAAGAAAATTGTACAAAGCATGCATGGGTTGTGTTGAGTTGGTTCTAAAGATACAGGTAGAGGTTCAGTTGGATCCCAGCTTCACGCTTTTTCAGACTTCATGTCTGGGAAAACATGACGGCAAAAAGCACAGACGGCAGCAGAAACAGTGGGTGATGAATTACAAGTTCCTACAATAACTGCTGTTCAGGCACTACACTCTCCTACATAAAACCCTGAGAGACCTGCAGTGTTCGGCTCCTCGATAACCATCAGGAAATACTGACAATTCACCATTCAACTGCCAGCCATCTGTAACAGTGTACTTGCTAGATATAAATCTGATTTGATAAAAAAAAGAAAAAAAGAATAAGCAGATGTTGGTTGTTTATAACGGAGCCAAAGGCTACAGTTTGCTCTCCAGGACAAGTGAGCGCTGTCGACCCTCTCTGAAAGCAGAGGACAGCAAGCTTCAGCCAGTGATATCCTGACTAGCCTCATCTGGACAAGCACCATAAAACCACAAGGACAGTTAGGACAGCCAGACAACAACATATGGCAGTAAACAGGAAGAGGAGCAGAGTGGGAGGAAGTGTGACATGAAATAAACAACATGGAAATGCAATAGGCATACCAACTTTAATTATAGCTTCTGATAATCTTTGACTTGGAGGATCCAAATTTTTGCAACGGACAAACGTTTCTGACATATTACTGGTGATGCAACTAACAACAATCCATCCATTATCTATACACCGCTTAATCCTCACTAGGGTCATGGGGGGCTGGAGTCTATCCCAGCCGACTCAGGGCTACACTTGGGGACAGACAACCAAGCACACTCACATTTACACCTACGGACAATTTAGAATCACCAATTAACCTCAACATGTTTTTGGACTGTGTAGGAGGAAGCTGGAGAACCCGGAGAGAACCCACGCTGCACGGGGAGAACATTGAATGTTCTTATACAGCTTGTAAAATTAGTTTGAGGTTGTTTTGCACATGTAGGAACAAACAACAAAGACAGTAAAGATGCTCGTTGTGTAGCGTTGCTTGCTACAACACTGTAGTTTCTGACTGCCTGCCTTATATGTTGAGAAGTTGTAAAACCCGGTGGCTCGGACTAGACCCACACACAGCATGCTCTCATGTGCACCCTGAACAACAGGCACACTGGTAAAAAGACCAGGATGGCAAAAACTTTATGGATTTCGTGACAGACCACCAGACACCGCAAGCGTCTGTTTGATAGGGGGTCGGCATGGACCAGCAACAGACTGATAGCAGCATTAAGGCAGCTCCTATAGATCCTGTGATAGCATTACCACGCACGAGGTGCTTGCCAACTGCGCTCAGTCGGCCAGAGGCTGGGCTAACGTTGTTGACTCAGTGGAGCGTCAAATGTTAGAAGTCACCAGTGAGCTTTCCGACCATTATATCTGTTTCCAACAAAACTGCCCCACTGCAAGTGTAATTTAGAAGACTTCTTCCTCTATGCTCAGACCTGTCAGGGGGTCAACTTAAAACCAGCAAACCGCAGGGATCGCAGTACACTGGCAGAAGCTGTGGTTATTATTTTTGGTTTGTCTGTTTTCCTCCAGTTCTCCTAAGCTTAGATCAGCAGTGAACTTCAGACTGTGAGAAGGTGGTCCATGCTTTTATATAATCACATCTGGCAGTGAGTCACACCGGGTATTTCACTCCAGTAAGCGGCGGTGCCTTGACGAGGTTTAGAAAAAGACAAAAGGCAACGTGACTCACATCTGCAGTGTATTGCTCCTGCTTTCGGCGCGTCGGCCAAAGCTGTGTGGATCATGGTTCATTTAAAAGAAGAAGAGCTGTACTTCCCACTATAAGGCACTTCTCAATACACTCTTGTTTGTGACTAAAAATAACTGCTAAATTAACCCTGTAGCACTGTGATAAAGCTTCAGCCCAAATTAAGCGTGAGAACTGACTCACCCCCTGCCTGTGTGAGTGTAGGGTCCGTCGCGGCCTGCACAGACACAGTCCCGTCGCTCACCGCGGTCGCGGGGAAGTAAGCAAAGCGGGTCTCCCCTCCCACTGCCTCTCCTGCTGGGCTTCCTCCATTACTGAAAGGGTTTTGGATCACAGCCTGTGACAGATAAGAGAGAAACAGAGGAGAGGCATGAACAAGTAGCAATGGAGCAGTCACAGCAGGTAAACGCACACCTCATTCTCTGTCAGACTCAATACTAGTATACCCCCCAGACCCCCAAGCAAGCCGCGGTGCAGTTTGACAGCTGGGATAAAGGGAGGAGAAGGAGTAGCAGCGATCTTGTTAGTGGGGATAACAGCAAGGTCAGTAAAGTCATCAGTATGCTGCAAATGACAACAAATTTGGTCTGTTCTTGCTAGAAAAACTGCATATTTTTAATGAAAAATTTTGAAGCAACAACTGTATTTTAACCTGAGTCACAGAGTTGGGCATGTACGCGCTGAACTATTTATACTGCTTTGCTACTTTGACAATCTAAGAAGAATCAACTCCTCCTGCAGCACACACCACAATGAAACAGAGATGCACCATTATGGCAGATTTGCAGAGATGATAACTGTTAATTGCGGCCAATAAAAGATATAGTAAATGATCATATATATATTTTCTATTAAATTGCTTTTTTCTAAAACAATCCCAATCCTGCCAGAGCATCCATAGAATTAAGAATATATTAATTAATTGCTAATGTAATCATTTTTAAATATATCCTTATTAGGGGCCAATAGCATTCCTTTGCAGCTCGTCACCAACACTTTGCTGCACTGCTTTGCTGTGTAAAGCACACCAGCTGTGGATAAAGAGAGCTGTAAAAACCACTGACAAGTGAACTGAACAACATTGATTATCTCAGTGAAATGCAATGTTTTCCTGGGACACCTTGGGTCCTGGCATTTAGGCGCAAGTTACTTTGACATGTGCCAACCCGCCTAAGTATTGCTGCAGACCAAGCACACACCCCCCCTTATGACATAAACACTATCGACAGCAGCAGCAGTCTTTCCCACACACCACCAGAACTGCCCAGGAACAGCCAGAGGGAAGGCAAAGAGCCCAAGGCGATGACCTGATCAACAGAGGCTTAAAACCTTACAAGACCCAAAGGACTTGCTGCCAACATCCCAGTGCCAGAGACCACAGGACACCCCCAGAGGTCCTGCATCCATGCCCTGACTGATCAGAGCCATTTGGGGGTAGGAGAGGGACCTACACAATACTAGGCGGCGTAATGATGTGGCTGATTGGTGTATATTCTGCTCATATGTTCTCCTCTCTTTTTGTAATTAGGGATGACATATAGTGTAGATGTAGACTTGCATAAAATATAACACAAAGTGAAAAAAAACTGTCTCAGAAGTAGGTTTAAAGGGGTGTCCCTTGTTCACAGCCATGCTCCCGAGAGAGACTGTCGGAGACAATTAACAGCTGAAATTCTATTACCTGAACAATAACAATAGTTTCATTTTCCTGCTTATCGGCCAATAATATAAATCATGCGTCCCTGCAAGAAAGGAAATTGCATGTCTGTTTCATGTGTTTTTAATGTTGGGAGTTTTACGGCATGAGCGGTATCAGGGTGCGTCTACGGAGATAAAAACCGATTAGCAGAATAAACTATCATTGGGTTTAGTCTCTTCGGGGAGATTGTTGGAAATAACGGAACGCTGAAATAGCACCAATCTTATCCTTCGAGCCATCTATTAGAATAGAGCTTGTGTGTAGAAACAGTCCACATTGCCAGCGAGTTCTCTTCAAATCGATAAAAAAAAAAAAAAAGAAAAAGAGGAGATTGTGCTACCTGAGCCACAGCCTGAGGAGCTCCGGCGAATGCAGCTGTTGAGACGACGCTCACTGCTCCTCCCGCATCGTCTCTTCCCTCAAGGTGCTGGTCAGTCACCTGAACAACACGATACGTCACCTGCAGGGTGGAAGGAGACGTGTGCGAAAAGAGAGAATCAGAGGAAAACAAACACAGAAGAATCAGAGGAAAGCAAACAGAGCAACAAGCTGTTTGTGTTTTTAACGCTACTATACAGCAGAAGTACTATGCACAGATCAAAACCTTACCTGACTTGTAGATTTGTTTATCATATCTGCTGCTTCAGTTCAGCCAAGCCTAGCAACTGACACTAAAGTCCTAAGCTCAGTAGCGCAGCGATTCCACCATCCCACACAATGCGCTTATGCTTCAGAATGTTCCTGATTCAATTTTAAAAACAAGTAAAGAAAATGAGCTTGTTTGTTCCAAGAATCAGTATTTGTATCCCTCCATCATGTGACTCCCCTCCTGACTGACATGTGACAACAGCCCCATGCCAATCCCAGACCAGAGTGGAATCACATGATCGCTCACACTGGGCCTGTTTACGCCAAATGAGCCACGTGGATCACTGACTTAATTCCCTCCAGTGTAACTCACCCAAATAAGGATAAACCAACTTAAATGTGACACTACTTTTTTTTTTTTCCAGTTTAGGACCAATGTCCCATTGTCCATCACTGACCACCACTGGAGTGAATACCACATTAGCGGACGGTAAGGACGCACTCTTGACAAAGGTCGCCAGTCAATCATGGGACGAGAAAAAGAAACACTTTCAAGAAACGTAGTACACTTCTCCTGACTTCGCAATAGGGGAGGGAGTCGAAGCGTAATAAGAAACTGCAACCTGACACAGATTGGTGAGAGGAACCCTGTTTTATCTTATTGTGAGGTCACTGTTTACATTAGGACCAAGCATACTAAAGTGTTCTAAATAATACATACACAGTGTGAAATGCTGCGTACAGACACCACATTATCTTTCACATATTGCACTACGCATGTGACCAAACCACCTTTATCAATACATAATGCGGAGCCCTGTCAGTCGCTAATTACCTTACTGCACTAACACCCCTGGGTCATCTATGCAGCCAGACATGTAAAGCAATTCTGAAGTGCACTGTTTTGTGTTGTGGGTGCGAAACAGATGCAATCTTATTCTAAGTGCCCCCTGGTGCCATTAGGAGCACTTAAGACTCGTGCAGAAATAGGCGATAAAAAAAACAATGACACATCAGTGCATTCACACTTGCATCCATTAGTTACTTACCTGCGCGCCCTCAGTGCGGAACTGATATTGTATGTTATGGTCACCGAATGCTGCAGCCTGCTGAACACTGGCTATCGTAACAGCTGTCTGCTCTTCCCCTGCCCCGTCTTGGAGGGAAAAAAAATAGGACACAAACAGCCAGTTGTTAGGGATGGAGAAGATATCAAACTAATAAAAGCAGCTGATCATCCCTGAGTGGAGCTCCCCAAAAACAAAAACATGCATCACACAAAGAAAGGCTGCATTTTTGTCACACCTCTTAATTACCAGATAGAGCACTTAATCAAACGCCCTGTGCTTTTCTACACAACACTGTACACACATCCCTTCACTGCTCTAGACTTGGGTGTTTTGTGAATGACAGCTTAGTAAATACATCCTTACCTTCTGATGCTTGGACAACCTCTTCGTCTTGCTTTTCTTGGCTGCAAATCGGTTGCAACAAATCAGTCGGTTATACAAACTACGCAACCAGCTAATGTATTCAGGGTTTTAAAAAAAATGAATATAATTGCAGATCTCCCCCCACTTCGCTGTAGCTTATGCCAAACATGTGCAAGAAGCCAGTGCAGCGTATTCGTAAAGAAACACACAACATTGCAACTGTCCTCCGTTTACCTTCAACGGCTGACAAAGTTATTTGTGTTTTAATAGCTAGCTTAAGCTATATTAGCTACTGTACAGTTATCAGCTAATTATATTGTTTATCGCAACAGGATATTAGTCTTCGTGAATACAACTAGTCGGCGACACCGCTTGCAAAGTCTTCCACTTTTCTTGCTAGCTTAATACTAGTCTCCTCATTAAATTCGTTTTGACAACAGTTTTTAGTTCAGGCCTTGGTTAGCGTCGTAAACTAGCTATCCGAAATAGCATGTTCTAGCTAGCTTGTAGCCATTTTGGCCGAGTCTCGGTTACCTTGCGGTGTCCAGACTCTGTTCAAGCATATCCATCAGGGTTAAAATAAAAAGTGATATTCGGTGTCACAGACGGAGATGGAAGTGCTGATCACGGGAACAAACACTCGGGTCATGTGAGAGAGACAGCCCAGGACACGTGAGGTATGGCTCGGTGTCGAAGTTAAAATGGAGGCCGCTGCTGGGGCTGGGTGATCCGAGGTGACTGCTCGATCAGCTGGAGGATTTGCTGCTCCTCGCTGGTGACCGCAGCCGACACGTTCAAAGCAACTGTTTCACTCCCGGGTGGGAATAACAGCAGCACTGTGGGACGGACATGAACTATTACGGACTGATTAAAATTAAAAGCATAACTCTCATTTGTTGGTGCCTGAGAGTAAAATTTAATTGGTCAATTTTTATTTTTTTTATTTTATTTTATTTTTTTTATAAATTGGCTTAATATTCTGGCGAAGAAACGAAGAAGAATGTATTATTATTATTATTATAATACATATTTTTGTACCTAAACTATTAAAACAATTTTAACAAAAAAATAAATAAATATTAACAGAAATGCAACTAGAATTTGTTTTAGTAAGTAGTATTAATGCCATTATTAACAACTTCATCAGCATTTTACAATAAAGTGTACAGACTAGCTCTGAATGCATTCAAAAACAGAAGTGTTCATGATCTGGCTATAAGATAATGAGGGGGGGAAAAAACAAGTCTACACCTCATGCATCATGCAGTTAAACGTCTGGGAATGCTGAATATTTCACAAAGCTATTTACTGCAGGACTGCTGCATCTAACTGCATTTTTTTTATTATTATTATTTGTAAGTCCAGGTATGCAAGTTGACATAAAACTGGAAAGAGTAAGCGTTTGTGACACATCACCATTCAGGAATAGTCAGGCATGATTAAAAGCTAACATCTACAGTCATTATAGGTCACTAAATCATGCTTATGTGTTACTTAACAGATATACTTTAAAGCTCTAAGCGCTTTGACCCTCAATACGCCGCTGCACTTTGCCATGAACTTTACCCCACATAAAGCGGAACGTTTCGTCTTTGGGTTTTGTTTGCGACAGAGATACCAGGAACACCACTTTATTCACAGGTGATTTGTCGTTGTATGCACATTTAAAACAGTTTGAGCGATGAGATAATCATTTACGTTACAATCTATAGTTGCACTGTGGAGGATTTAAGACAAAAGTTTAACTACGATTCGAAACCGCGGCAATGACTTTCCTTGTTGAATTTAACAACGACCTCAAGCGTGAATCAGCCAATCAGAGCGTTGATCGTTTTTTGATGTGCATTTCTCATTGGCTGGAACGGGAGGCGGTCACCTCAGTTCCTCTCCTGGATTCACCCTAAAATAATTCCGACGTCTCCTCCTTGGGTGAAGGTTCACTGCGGTGACTGTGTAACGTTAGCTGTCTGTTATAGTTCAGCGTTTCAGCCACAATGTCTGGTCGTGTTCTTGTCGGAGTTAAGCGGGTCATTGACTACGCAGTAAAGGTAATGCTTTTTTTTTCTTTATTTGCATTTTAAAATAGTTTTTCCTGCGCTCACTCACTTGACTTTCTGTGCTCTACTAGCTAACATTAGCCTGCTAACGCCAGCTGGCAGTGGCACAAGAGCAAAACCACACAAGTGACTGTTCAAATATTTGACAGATAACCTTTACGGTCTGCAGATAAATTCATACAATCTATTTAAATATGAAAAATGATTAATATTTTAAAAATATTGTTAGCAGTGCTGCAGCTACCAGTTACCTGTCTTGACAGATGTTTTCAAGTTGTGTAACATGTCTGGCTGGGTAATTAGCATGTCCTTTGTGGAGTCAGTTTAGGTGTCCCATCTTAAACTAGTCCGTAAGACAATGGTGTATGATGCAGTCACATAGTTACTGCAATCGGACTATTGTTTAACCTTTTGGTGTTCCCCTGGAGGTGAAGCAGAACACCATAATCAATAAGTTTTAGCAGCTCTTTCATGTACCAGCAGGAACACTCCTGCTTCAGCTGCCCTCAGCAGGATCTGAACACTATCAGTGCGACTACTGGTGCTGATATCACTGCTGCTCCTGTTACATATTGTCAGATAAGAGAATATATTGAGTCAGGAAACGTAGGCTCTTTTATTTGCTTTTTTAATTATTTCTGATTTGGCACTTATTCATGTTTCCTTGTTATGGCAGAATGAGTCTTCTAAAACCAGTATATAACTTGTGATGTTAGGTGACTCGTTGCAAAGACTTTTTATATTCTCAGCATTGTGTTTTATGTACTGATCTGGCTGCATTATTGCAAGAATGCGTATTTGAAATGTGGGTATTTGATGTATGTGAAGCTACACTGTGTGTCCAGATGCATTTGGATGTCCTTGTCCTCATATCGTTGTGTTCTGTTGGCTAACGCTTCACGGAAATCTTAAAGCCACAGCATACAAAGCTAATAAACAGACAAGAGTCTCCTTCTTAACTGAACATCTTGGGGAAGACTTTTCCCCGTACATGCATAATAACGATGGCCCCATGCTCAAATCCACTTCCATAAAAAAAATGTTTTGGTAGTTTGGTGTGAAAGACTTGATCGTAAGCTTAAAACCCTGACCTCAATCTCGTCAGGTGCTTCTGGTGCAAATAGAAACACGAGTTGTAAACCAGGCCTTATCACCAAACACCAGCATCGGACCTCAATAATGCTCCTATGACTGAATGAGGTCAAATCCCCGTGGCCAGCTTCCACAATCTTGTGGACAGTCATGTGTTGTGAAAGCAGCACATCAGTGTGACATCTGTCACGCAACTCGTGTAACCTTGCACCCCTGTTGTGACTCTGTCCTGATGTCTTGTTTCTGTATAGATTCGCGTGAAGCCGGACAACAGTGGTGTGGTGACGGATGGCGTTAAGCACTCAATGAACCCCTTCTGTGAGATCGCTGTGGAGGAGGCGGTCAAGCTGAAGGAGAAGAAGCTCATTAAGGAGGTTGTGGCTGTCAGTTGTGGACCGCAGCAGTCGCAGGTGGGGTAGACGGGACCGGACTCTGCACCCCTGTCTTGTACGCTAAAATCCAGGAGAAATATAGGATAGTTTGGCAGGTTACATATCACCAAATCCAGCTGTACTCCTACACTGTATTTACTGATGTATGACTTGATATTTAAATAAACAAAATTCTATGTCGATAAAGAGTACAAGAATTATAGAGTCACTAGTACCATAAAACCAGATTTTTTTAGACTCTCACTGTATTAAATAGGGGCAAACTTGAGAATTATTCCTGCAATTGAAAGGAATTGTTGTGGAATGTTATATTTAAAAAGTAATTATGACATCTAGAGGTAAATGTGAGAAACATTTAAGGGTGCATAACATTGGATTGGGTAAAAAAAAAAAGTGTAATTTTTGCCCTCCCCAATGACAAGTTCTTTGACCCGTGTTCCTTCCTCACTCAGGAGACCATCCGTACTGCCCTTGCCATGGGGGCCGACCGTGGCATTCACGTGGAAGTGGCTGGAAAAGACTACGAAACCCTCGGACCCTTGCAGGTCTCCAAGATCATGGCTGCTTTGGCCAAGAAGGAAGAAGCTCAACTCGTCATCCTTGGCAAACAGGTTAAAGATGAGGATTCATTTCACCGAATATCCCGTCTTACACTCACTGCTTACATATTCCGATCACTCGCTCTCTGCTGTCGCCTTCATTTAATGACTGGTTGCTTTCATAGGCCATTGATGACGACTGCAATCAGACCGGCCAGATGACAGCAGCCTTACTGGACTGGCCTCAGGTGAGTTAAATACAATTATTCTAAACTGGACTTTGCTAACCCGTCTACTAAAAAGCAACATCGGGTTTGACCTAAACCTGATCTAACTGCTAAATGCCAGTTAGATTATCTCAGTTTCTATATTTTCCTGTTATTCTTCACAAGCGTGGCGAGCCGGCGCTGATATCGGCTGTCAACACCGTCTTATCAATGTTAGTGGGGACTAGTCTGAGTCGGTAGGAGCCACAGCGACCCAGCACAGATCAACAGAGCAGGTCAAAGGCTGCCTGGAGAGATGGAGTGAACTTCTACCGGATAACCAGTAGAGGGAGCACTTTGATTTCATGTCTCAGTGTACAGGTTGAGCAGTTTGATGTGCAGATTATGATATAGAATCAAACATCTAGTCAGTTTATTCACAACTGTTTACACACCTGGATTATGGGATACATGCTCCATCAAACATTATTAGTACCGCTGCATTTTATAGTCAAGTTTGTTCTAGGGGTGTTTACAGGAGTTGTAGTTACACTTGTCAAACAGCAGGTGGAGCACATTTACTGCTTCTTTTTGTTTGTTGCGTTCCAGACAATTCCATATGAAATGTTAAAACAGACTATTTACGTGTATGATTTTATACATTTGTGCTGTGTCTCTATATTGCAGGGTACCTTTGCATCAGAGGTGTCACTGGACGGAGACAAGGTTAAGGTGGTGAGAGAAATTGATGGTGGCCTGGAAACTATTAAGATCAGCACACCGGCAGTGTTGACCGCAGACCTTCGACTCAACACCCCCAGATATGCCACCCTGCCTAATATCATGGTGGGTAGCAAAACACAAAAATGTAGATTCTTTACTGCTTAACAATGTCTTAACTTTCAACAATTCTGAGAAGTGAAAGCTTTTATGAATGTGTACATTGCCCTTCCCCTGTGATTCCTTTTTTTAGAAAGCCAAGAAGAAGAAGATTGCCAATGTGAAGCCTGCAGACTTAGGGGTGGACCTCACATCGCGGTTGGAGGTGTTGAGAGTGGATGAGCCTCCACAGAGGCAGGCAGGAGTGAAGGTGGAGACAGTGGAGGACCTGGTGGGCAAACTCAAGGAGACAGGGAGGATATAGAGGCTTCAGGAGCACAAGCAGCGGAGCACAGACACTGGCAGAAGGGTAGGTATCAGTGTCTTCACTAGGGCCCGACCGACGTGGATTTTTTTTGAGTCCGATGCCGATATTTGGCAAAAAAAAAAACAATTCTGATAAACGATTAATCGGCCGATTAATTAAAAAATTATATAATAAATAAAACGGCTTCTTTTTTGGTCCC